ATCTGAGCAAGTGTAAGGTGAGGAAACAGAGCCGTGGACCTAAGCTTTCAGAGGTGTCTAGGCATAATACCAGTTTTACCCCTTCATATTAATGTTAATTCAATGCTGTTGTTTTGAGCTTGCTATGAGTTTTTCAGTTCTGTTTGTGAGCTGCAAATTGATTTACCTTGCTGCTTTAAGAATTTTTTATGCACCAGCAAGTGTATTTTATGAAGACAAAGCTGTGACAACTGTTGGTGGTACAGGACTGAAATTGAATTAGTGATATACGCACACAAAACCCTAAAAGCTAGGGTTAGTTGAGTTCAAGCCATTTGAGTGCTGTGATTTACATAAAATTGTTTCTCCCTATGTTGATTTTGTTTTCCCAAGCCCTCTATAATTTTGGGACTGAGACTTAAAAGGCTAACAAAGAGTCTGCAACTTTGACCCTTAAAGTTTAAATAATATTAGTGTCAACAATGCTCTGAAAAATGTGTGCAAGAGAGAGAGAGAGAGAGAGAGAGAGTTTTTTACTGGACCCCTTCAACATGAGGGTATATTCTTCCCAGAGAGTTGGTGTATAAAATGATTAGATATGAATTTTTGACACTTGGACTTAATGGTTTCTATCTTTATCTGAAGTGAGCCCTTTTCAAGGGAAGAGACTAAAAAGGCACTAAACTAGCTTGGAAAGTGGGGGATAGGGTAGAGGGATGAGGCTATGAATAGACTGATGGAATGATGGCTTTTCACTTTGATTAAATGAAAGAGGCTTTTACATATTCTCCCTTGCAAGTTGAGAAAGTATTTTATTAAAAGAAGCAACACACAACTAGCCAAGCTTGAAACAATAATTCAGAAAAGCTATACACAAAACAATTAATTTATAATTAATTAAATTTAAGTCAAGTCAAATTTAAAAGTATAGAGAATCAAATAGGAACAAATAATACAAAACATTAAGAACAGAATCAAAACAGATTCACAACTACTTGTATTCATAAAGTTTGCCAGCAAAGCAAGTGGAAGCAAATTTACCAACAAGGGAAGTTAATTCAAACCAATACTAGATATTGTGTATGCCCAAATGCATTACCGACAAGCAAATTTACAGTTAATCTCCACATCCAAACGCAAATAATCTATGTCCAGTACACTGAAAAAGTAACACATGATATAACTTGCTATCTAGTTAACTCTTTCAGTTATCATTTATGACTGGAGATGGTCAAAATAATTCTCGAAATAGTACAAATTAGGGACAAAGAAATATGCAGTCATAACATAACCACAATATGTTCTTTGGGGAAAAAGTCAATGCAATTTTTATCTAAGCCAATGTTCAAATTATATAACCAGTCTAGTGATTCTATACACAACTTCAAAGTTGTACACTAAACACCTACTAAGCCAATGTTCAAATTATATAACCAGACCAATGCTTTTCAAATGAAGCAAGTACCCTTGTTTGTTGATCATATTGGATCACTTACCCAAAAAAAAATATTTATAGAAAAACAAAAATCATTCCTATATTTCCCAGCCACTTCTAAGTTTTAACAACAGAGAAGATTTCTAGGGATAAGGGGTGACACGGAGATTAATATTAAAATGTCCCACCTAGATTTATGAAAAAAAAAAATCAAAACTCCTAATCATTATTATATATATGTGTATGCAGAGAGATAGAGACATAGAGAAGACCATGAAAATTGGCGAATCTTCATGTTAAGTTAGATGATTTAACTTCTATGAAAAAAAAAAAAAAAAAAAAAAAATTTCATTACTTACATATGCTTTGCGAGCATCATCATTAGTCCATCCAGTCCCTTCCTTGAAATGTGCATTCTTGTACATTTTGATGGCAGGTCTTACGATACGATCTCATTCTCTTCATCATTATCTTCATCATTTAAAGTAGCTTCCTTTTGTTTCTTCATTAATTATTTTTATATATTATAAGGTAAGGTTGTTGAAAGAAAAGAAAATAAAGAAATCTAAGTATAGTGTTAGATATTACATACCTCTTCATAATGCATTTTGGCAAACGACTTTGACCCAGCATAATGTATCACATCATTCTTTGACCTGTTTTCTTTGTTCTGGGCACTAATTTCCTACAAAATAATTGAAAAATGATACAACAAATGAATGAAAGAATGAAACGTCGAAATCTTTGGAAAACGATATAAATAGAAAAAAATGTAGTAAACTTAACTTGAAATTTTTTTGACATCCACCTATTGCACAAGATCTGCCAGTCCTCGTAAGTTACTTCAGGATGTGTGTTGCGGCGTGCACTTTCTTCTATTTCGAATTGGTTAAAATGTTCTTTCAAACGGTACCTATACTTCCTATGAGCAATGGCTAATGCGTTATCTGCGCATTCCTTAGCTTTTGAATCCTTTTCACAATCAACTCCGAATTCTTCCTGTAGTTTTTCACATGAATAAGCCATAAATAAATATCATTTTAAAGAAGGAAAAATAACAGAATCCTGATTTTGGAAAGCTAAAAAAGGAAAAATTACAAATTATTTTTCATATCATCTAAATATACAAAGAAATCCCACACAAAGATATGCATTAATTAAGACAAACCTTTGTTTTACAATATAAGAACTGTTTATGAGATTTCGGAATCTTCAGCCAATTGTTATAGCATAGTGGAATGTAATCACGAGCAATGATCCCAAGCTCTCTCTCCCATAAATCTGAATGTTCCTCCACCGGTTTTGAATAATCGTCGTTAAACTTAATCGGAATGATACCCCCATTGTAATTTTTGATTTTATATTTTTTTTGTTTACAGCTTTTCCACTCTTCGGGAATTCTCTTGAAGAACCTGAAAAATAAAAGACATGAAAGTAACTTGTAAAAGTATTTTGAGACCTACTTTTAGTAAATTCAAAGACCAAGTGTAGTAAATGTAAAGATTAGAAAATATCACCTTCCACTATTGGTTGTGGCTGGGACGATGCAGGAGCATTTTGGGTGAGTTCATTGTTAGATCTCAAAGAGCGACGAGGTTCATTGGATGCCATGGTATATTACAGCAAAAGGCGAATAAAATCTTTATAACAAATCAAAAAATCGATAGATTAGAGAGTAACAATTAAGTAAAAGGGAGAAGTATTAAAATAACAAGACAATAGAAAATTAATATAAAGAAAAATAATAGATAATGTGAATGTAAAAAAAGAAGTAATAATAAGACAAAAAGATAAAAACAATACATATTCTAAAACTTAATGTTCAAGTACTGAAGACAATTTAACTTCAAATTTGCATGTGTTCAACAAAAAATGAATAAAAATAAAACTCATCACATGTCATCCAAATCAGTATCATCTTCACTAAGCAATTCTTCTTCCTCGTCTGAATTGTCTTCAATGGAGATTTCATCATTGTCTTCAAGAAAGTCAAATTCATAACGTGATTCTTGACTAGTTTTAAGAATTATTTCAGCATCAATACTTTCAACCTCCAAGCCATCCCTATTCAAAGGGAGTGGATCCATGTCAAAGTCCGCCGCCTCAACAACCCTATCCACAATACATGGTTCATCCTCTTGATATGCTGCAGTACACATTTCAGCTGTAAGTTTGCTATCATCCTCCATTTCAGGAACATCATAGAAGCTTCTATGTGTTATATCTTGAATGACCTCCCACGTCCCTCGTAATTTGCTGTCTTTGACGAAGAAGGCTTGTTTAGCTTGATTAGCCAACACAAAAGGCTCATCTTTGTACCATTTACGGGCTATGTTTACGCTCCTAAAATAAGTATCACTCTTAATACCAGTCTTTGTGTTGAACCAATCGCATTTAAATAGGACAACCCGCCTTTTCAAAGGGTATTGTAACTCAATGATATCTGTCAAGACGCCATAGTAATCAAGGTCCTCTGTTTTGACTAACACACCACTATTTTGTGTTCTTCGATTTCTCTCCCTTTCCTTTGTATGGAACCTAACTCCGTTTACAATGCAACCAGAATATCGATGTATCCGAGATTCAGGTCCACACGTTAATGAATAAAGGTCATCATTAATTGTTGACTTGTTATGATAACGCTCTTCCTTTATCTATGAAAAATTTGTAGAGTGTTAAACTAATGCACAAGGACACAACATCTAAAAGAAATGGTAGGTATGTCAAGCACATTATAGACTTACCAGTGTTTCCAACCATCTGGGAAATTCTTTTGCGTGTCTGGATTGTACATTAACCGTATTTTCTTGCTTAAGTGTAGCCTTGTGTGCACTAAATAATTATGTGATATTAATATATGCATTTTATAATTTACAAGTAGATAATTGAAAAAAAAAAAAATACAATATATAACTTACAGTGCGTATGACTCAATTTCTGGACAATTATTTAACACGTAGAATCGAGCCTTTTGTATGCTTGCAATGTCAAGTATTTCTAAACTTCCAGACCCTAAAGGACAAACCACTTGCCTTAGCTGTGAAAAAGTGGACCAATTGGTACGATAGTCGCCCTCGTGATTTCTTTCTTCTCGATTAAATCGTGTCTCAATCCCTTGAAGAAACCTTGAGCAAAATGTAACACATTCGTTGTCTACATAAGCTTCGGCAATGGACCCTTCAGGACGTGCCTTATTACGCACATAAGACTTAAGAGTATGTAAAAACCTGCATACACATCAAAATACTTATACATAATTAAATATCATGTAATGCCCCCAAAACATTTTATGTATTAGAAATATACATCACCTTTCAATGGGATACATCCACCGATATTGGGCAGGTCGTGCGATGATAGCCTCACGTGGCAAATGCATAGCTAAGTGCACCATTATGTCAAAAAATGATGGAGGAAATATCATCTCTAACTTGCATATTATAACAGCAATGTCCCTTTCTAATGCCTCTAAGACATCCATTTTAAGGGTCCGACAACACATCTCCTTAAAGAATAAACCAAGCTCTGCTATCGCATTACAAATATCAACGGGTAACAATCCCCGTATAGCTAGAGGGAGGAGACGCTATAAAAGAACATGTGAATCATGACTTTTCAATCCAGATATCTTACATTCATTGACATTCACACAACGGCTTATGTTCGACGCATAACCATCTGGGAATTTCACCGACTTTAACCAATCACACAATTGCCTTTTTTCATCCTTTGACAATGTGTAACGCGCAGGTGGCATCTCAAATTTCTCACCATTACGCCTAAGATGAAGTTTTTTTCTAATACCCATTTCTTCTAAATCCATCCGACTTTTGAATGTATCTTTCGTCTTTCCTTCAATGTTCATTAATGTCCCCAATACGTTATCACATATGTTTTTCTCTATGTGCATAACATCCAAGTTGTGCCGCAACAAAAGCGTTCTCCAATAAGGCAATTCAAAGAATATACTCTTTTTTGTCCAATTAAGTTCCTCCTTCCCATGAGTCCGCTTCTTATTGTTTGGTCCTTTTCCGAATCTAACCTCGGGTATGAGATTAAGTTGTTCTAGAATATCATCACCAGTCAACTGCTTTGGTGGCTGTCTTTCTTCCTTCTCACCATTAAATTGCTTATAACGCTTCCTATAAGCGTGTTCGGATGACAAAAAAATACGAGCTCCCAAGTAACATATCTTCTTTCCATGACTCAAATAACAAGAACATGTGTGTTTGTTACAATTTGGACATGCCATATAACCCTTTGTCATCCATCCGGATGTCATCGCATAGGCGGGAAAATCATGTATAGTCCAAATCAACCCCGCATGCATGTTAAAGTGAGATTTGCTATAGGCATCATATGTCATCACACCATCTATCCACAATTCTTTCAACTCATCGATCAACGGTCGCAGGTACACATCAATGTCATTACCAGGTGATTTAGGACCAGGAAGAAGCAATGACATAAACATATATGGTTCCTTCATACATATCCAAGGTGGTAAATTGTAAGGCACAATAATTACAAGCCACATACTATAAGCATTGCTCATGTTACCAAATGGATTAAAACCATCACATGCTAACCCGAGACGAATATTACGAGGATCGGCAGCAAACCAACTATGCTTATTGTCAAATTCCTCCCAAGCTTTTGAATCAGCTGGATGTCTCAACACATTTGTCTCTTTGACGCGTTTCTCCTTGTGCCACCGCATGTCTACGGTTGTATCCCTTGACATAAACAATTGTTGAAGCTTGTGTTTCAAAGGAAAGTATCGTAGAACTTTTTGAGGAATTTTCTTACCTTTACCTTCGCGAGATTTATACCTTGACTCACCACACTGTGGACAACATTCTTTACCTTCATTCTCCTTCCAGAATAGAGCACAATCATTTTTACATGCATGGATGGAATCGTATCTGAGACCCAAGTCACGTAACAAGCTTTTAGTCTCGTAATATGACTTTGGCAACGTGTTGTCATCAGGAAGCAACTCCTCTTTTAGCAACTTAAGCAACATGCCAAAACTTTTGTTGGTCATTCGGCCTACAACTTTCATATGGAACAACTTTAATATTGCTGACAACTTAGAGTTTTTCTGACAACCTGGCCACAATTCACATTATGCGTCATTTAGCAATTTCTTAAATCTTTCGTTTCCCACATCAACTTCAAGTGGATCTTCTGCTTGTTCTGCATTAGTGAATGTTCCCATTCGTACATTATCCAGCAGTTCAAATACATTGTCTTCGTTTCCACGTCCCTCATCGGCATTATCCCCATTGTCGGTATTAACATCATATTCTGTATTAACAGTACTAGTGATGTTAATAATACCCTCCCCGTGCCATATCCAATTAGTATACGACTTGTACATCCCACACTGAAATAGATGTTTTTTAACCTCCTTAATTGGCTTATACACAGTATTTTTGCGCAAACGACACGGACATCTGATCCTACCTTGCCCATCTTTATGTCTGTTAGCCAACTTTATGAAGTTTCTTATGCCTCTATTGTACCCTTCACTACCCCTAGCATGATGATGAATCCAAGACTTATCCATGTAACTGGTTCATCAAAAACAAAATCAATTATGGATACAATAGAATTGATGCATGTTGAATATATATGTGTATGTATAACTCTTTCAATTTCCTCATCCATGGTCCTATCCCATTAAATAGAAACATGAATAATGAATTAAAATAGATGCAATTGTGTGGAAATACATTTATTAATTTTTAACACATTATTTTGTTTTTCAATTATGTCGAAATGTGTTATAAACATATATATATGTAAGGAACAACTTTATTTTGAACACATTATGTACAAGTATGTTCAGGACAAAAAATGTTATAGCCTCCCAAACAACCAAAAAATGAAGGAACATAATAATTATTATTTTTCCTAAATATAATATCTACCCGGATTAAATTCAAACATATTTATAAGAGAACCTTTCATTTAAACAAATTAAATTGAAGAAAACAATGAAGCTTAAAAATAACATCAATCAAAACATGAACAAACAATTCCGTATAAAATACAAAACAGAATCATATAGTTCTGTCCACAGATTCAACTATTTATCACAATGTTAAGACGAAGCCAAAACCTAAGAGATCAAAAACAAAAGCCTCATTTCCTAGCACTTCATTATCTAGATGTGAACTAATTTCTAATGAAAAATAATCTGAACCAAAAGGAGGATAAAACAACACTATTTAGTTCAAATCCAAAGCCAAACAAAACCACATGTATATAGAAACAAGATATTCAAAAAAAAAAAAAAAGAAGTAGACTTAAAATCTAATCAAAACACATGGAGACAAATTTACCGAAACAAATAGAACAGGAAATTAAGAAATCATAAGACATTGAAAATTGGACTGTTTAATTACAAAATCACAAGATCACCTAATTTACATCCCATGTGGGACAGAACACATCTACGCAACATAAAAAATGGTGTCTTTGGGTTTGCTTTTTTACTTCTAAATTTTGGTATGAATTCTGATCAGTATACTCGTAGTCTAGTATAAAAGTAAATTTTGGAAATTGAGCAAAGGTGATCTATGTACCCGCTCTAGGTCAATTTCATATTGGAGAATCCAATTATGTATAAAGCCTTGAAACTTCCAATAGTTGAAAGAATTAACATGACTACAATTGTGTCCAGGAATATAAAAATAAAAATAAAAAAATCTGTTATAGCCTCCCAAACAACCAGAAAATGAAGGAACATAATAATTATTTTTTTTCCTAAAGATAATTTTTTCCCAGATTTAATTCAAACAAGTTTTTATTTTTGGGCAACACATGAATAGATCTGTATAGAATACAAAACAGAATCATAGAGTTTTGTCCATAACTTCAACTATATAACACAATGTTAGACGAAACCAAAACCTACGAGATCAGAAACAAAAGCCCCATTTCCTAGTACTTCATTATCTAGATGTGAACTAATACAAATACTCACACACACATACATTTATGTATATATAAGGCCATAAAAAACATGTGTGTTAAATCTATTGAACTGGTTTCTTTTACTTTTTGAACAAAGCACGTTGAGTTAGATATAAAAATACTCAACAAATTACACCATACACACAAAACAATAAATAAAGAGATAACTCTAGCCTCACCAAGCCAAAAAGCAAATATACAAATCTAAAAAGCAACGGGAAAAAAAAATTAAATATAGAAAATAAAAAACACTTACAACACCCGTAGAAGAGTAAGTAGTGACACTGAACTTCTAGTCGCTCTGGTAATCCTTATAGAGAAGATCTACGGCACGAAACAAAGAAGCAAATGATAGAAAACATTCCAAGCTATCAATCCAATCAACTGAGACAAATGGATGGGGTATTCCAAAAATATAAAGGATGGGCACTTTATGCGTTCAACTAAACATTTTGAGCTAATGCAAAATTTACAAATCCATTGAATTGATAACATTTTTGGCTGCTCAAGTGGATCAATAATGCTGGGGATTAGAGATTTTCTTAAATACACAATACACAAGTGTTGCATTCTATAACAATTGGTTACCAAAAAATTGTTAAAATAGCTCAGTAATCTTTTGAAAAATAAAGCTTGAATTTGGTATTTTTAAAACTGTAAGATTAGCAATACAAAATAATAGGGATCATCGAGTCACTTGTTGAATTTAAAGTATTATAGGAAAAAAAATCCCCAAGAAACAATTTAGTGACAAATAACAATTTAATAAATAGCTAGTGAGTCAAGCATAATTAGGGAAAAAGTCCCAGATATTGGATCAATTTGGGGTGACCTGGGAGGCACTCTCCTAGTTGGTGTGACTTTCAGCACCACTCTAACCAATTCGTGCGCACCAAGATGGGGCGTGACATATTCTCCTTGTCAGATAAATATATATATATATACATATATTTTTTATATAATACTAACTAAAAAATGAAAGAAGAAAAAAAAAAACAAAAACAAACAAACAAAACAAAACCCTCTCTTAAACATCTTGTGAAGCTAGAACCAAGTCTGCAGAACTGGAAAAGGCAAAGTGATGGATTAAGCTATACAGTTTCAAAATAACATTTGTCCTTGGACACATACTCTGCACTTCTTCTTATCTACATGATACACTCTAGTTATCAAAAAAAAAAAAAAAATTGTTTTGTTTTGTTGGCTATAGTTATCAATTAATTAGCTTTACAGCTAACTTGCACTCTACTTGTGGATAAGAAGATCAATGGGATATAAAGTCTTGTTTATACATTTTGTTTTCTTGTCCAATAAAACTTTTTTAAAATTTAGTTCCAAAAGAATATGGATACAACTCAGGCCAATAATTTATAATACTACTAAATTTAGTTTGTTATGATTTTTTTTTTTTTTTTTCCAAAAAAAAAAAAAACGTTAAAACCCATTAGTACCATTTAGGTTAATGCAAAATTAAAATATTTCCAAAGCCATAAGAAGAATATTCAAAAATGAAAAAGTTGGGTTTGTGAGAAGATGACGGACCTGTTGGAGGGAGTGTCTAGAGTAGGAAAGTGGGTGAGATCAGAATACAAAGAAGGAAGAAGAAGCTTTGTCCACCATTGATGGACTGACTTTGCTGCCTCCCAATTAAAATGAATTAGATGTTCACCCAATTAGACAAAGAAGAAGCCAATAAATTGCAAATTATATATTACTAAGATCAATCAACAAAACCCACAAAAAAGGATCGACTTTCCAGCAAGAAAATTAAATTAATGAAGTAGCTTAGTTTATAGATTGTGCAAAGAATCTACTCTTATACGAATTATGAAATTTTATATTATTCTCAAAGTACGCGAGATATCAGGTTCCTCAATGGATTAAAAAGAAAAAGAAGTGAAGACAATTGTCTATTTTACTTCATAATAGCAATATATAGCATAACTCCTTCAAAATATATATATAAGAAAATTTATTCCGTTTTATTTTATATTTTATTTTATTTAATAATTTTTTTTAATAGAAACTCACTCTTACATTCCACTTTTTCTTTTAAGGGATTTAAACCTAGATCTTCTATTTTGAAAGGTAAAAAAGTGCCACTATTTTAAAAGTAAAGTTTATGTTTTGCATTACAATCATATGTTTGAGAAAATTTAGAAAACTTAATTGCAGAAGGAAAGCAGAAGGAATATATATTTTTAGCCTGGCAATTGGTTGAAGTTTGATTAGAAGTTAGAGGGTAGGTAGGCGACTCTAACAGAAGCTCACACACCAACTGTAGGGCTTCCCACCAACTGGGACATAAAGCACGTCTACCATAAGGAAATTCCTAATGTAATACCATAAGAAAATTGAAAATTGAAGTCCAAATTAATGCGCTTAATGTACAATTTGGAAGGATGAGCGCGACAAGAACTTATCTTCTGATTTCAAGTTTTAAAAATCTTCTCCAGCATTCCACAATTCTAAATCAAAATAAAAATTCAAAGAAGACCTTTAAAATTCTTCTTTTTTAATTTTTCTGTCTCATTTTCACCAAAAATTTAATATTCAAAGTTAATCATAACTTGATCCTAATCCAAATACAGAGTTCCATGCATGACTACTTACCAAATTAAATATTGATCTTTGAACCCACCCCCCATTTTCCTTTTTGTTACATTTTTTTTTTCCTTAATTTCGTTTTGAGTACAAATATGGTTGTTAAGCAGTGAACAATAAAGCGAACACTCAAGTTTTGTGCATCTAAAACATTTATGTTAATTATATGCATGTGTATATGTGTGTATATAGTGAATGTATACGCAGTTAGGGTTCATTAATTGGGAAATAAGGGAATTGAGGAGTGAAAATTACCGGCGGTGGGATTGATGTGAAGACGGTGGAGAGTGTTAGAGGACTCGTCGATAGGAGAGCAGAGGATATCAAGAAAGATCGTTTCCGGCTGCTGTTGTTGTTGGGCTCTTCAAGACCTCCATGTTGATACCCACTTTTACGAAAGAGAAAATTAGTTGGCAATGGCTTGAATTGAAAAGAAAGAGATCGATATTGGGGAAGACC